GGATAATACGTAAGAATTGCACTTAAATGTATTTGTATGCTGTTTCGGGTAGGGTGAGAAAAATTACGAATTATGGAAGTTGATCATGTTTAGTGTAAACGGGATCGGAAACTAATCATGGCATGAGTTGGCAGTCATTTTGTATCAGTTTGCATGGCAATGATGCAAAACAAGTATAATCCGACTAAACAGTTTATACAACTGAGCCGTAAGCCTAAATCTGTCGAGTGGAGTTGGTTGCACAGGTGCTACAGTAAGCAAAACAGAGTCATCGTGTGATGCGCATTCACAAGTCGCGGGAACAGAGATCGGCTCATTCTTACGTGACTTGTCGATTGATTCTGCCCGACTCACTGGTGTGTGATTATCATACACGCACCGTGAAGCTTATGATTCATATTATATTGGCTTGTTATTAATTATATTGACAAAGTGAGTAAAAGGCATTGAGAATGAAATGGATCTGTAACGTTATCAATTGTTCAATGTATATAACAGCTGTATACACAATCATACAAACGTACGAAACACACACACACACAGCGGACAGCTACACTGGCAACACACACCTAACACCACGCGCACACGCGACGACGCACACGTGGCAGCGACATGCACATGTATACATCTACAAGCCGCGTGTGCGTGGGCGTACGTAAGCATGGGTGTGTGTGTGTGTTGTGTGTGTGTTGTGTGTGTGTGGTGTGTGTGTGTGGTGTGTGTGTGCCTCGCTCGCATGTGCTCGTGCTACTGTGTATGTGTTTATTATCGATGGTTATGTGCGTGAATGCATAGATATTGCAATACAATTCCACATTATTATTCATATATTAGTACGAGTCAATAGTGTTATTGATCAATATAGGCATAATCTAGTTATTGTATTAGAAAGGCAGCCTATTGCACGACATAGGTTATGCATCGTACTAACGAGTTTTTGTTATCTCAGCTGCATCTAACACTCTAATCTATACTCTGATCTAATCACAGAGAGCTTTTGTTTTATATTATTCTTAATGTGATATTACTACTAGATGCCTTCCTAGTGTATAGCCTATTCATACGTACGTATATTTGCGGTAAATATTGTTCGAGTGTGTGTACGCTTCTTGTGCTGCATTCGTGGAGCATATGGCCCCGTACTGAGTTGTTTTGGGTTTCTGTAACACGCTCTGTCTAGCAGGGAGACTCTCTTACACGGGTATAGTTTGCTAGCTAGACTTACGCTGATGTACAAAGCTTATACTGCGGCAATGTAAACTGCTAAAGCACATTGACATGAATTAACTTGCTCACAGGCAGAACAAGAGTGACTCGAACCACAGACCTACCACCATGTTCCTCCATTTATTCATGTTTGCTAGCCATCCTCTATACAGCCCCATAAATTAATTATTTGTGTAGTTTGGAGTTGCTACATACGTTATTCGATTTAATCATTTACTTATCCTGGAATCGTTATTGCGTATATTATTATATGACTTTATTGAGCTTCACATATATATATATATATATATATATATATATATATAATATTTAGTAATACTTCTAGTAATACCTCAGTTACGTCGTCATGTACAATCCATAAATTGCTGATAAACATAACATGAGAAAAATAGTGACAAACCTAATGACATGTTGTGGTATTTTATTCGCTAAATGTTAGAGTCTGACTGTAGCAATGCAGCTATTTCCTAGTGCCAACAACCGACACGTATTTCGTGACCGACGGGCCTATATATAATATACGTGTCAGACGGTCAGCATATGTGATCGTCACGATACGTGATATGGATGGATCATAACATGTGTCTATACGCCTCCCGTTTTATACACGATGTTATCTATATAGAATACATTGAGTATGTGTGTGGACGCGGCGCGTGCATGCTTCGAGAACGCACGGCGTGCAGCGTGTCATGTGTGTGTTGTGTGTGTGTGTGTGTTTGTGTGTGTGTGTGTGTGTGTTGTGTGTGTGTGTATGTGTGGTGTGTGTGTGTGTGTGTGTGTGTGTGTTGTGTGTGTGTGTGTGTGTGTGTATGTGTGTGATGTGTGTGTGTGTGTGTGTGGTGTGTGTGTGGTGTGTGTATGTGTGCTGTGTGTATGTGTGTCGTGTGTGTTGTGTGTGTAGTGTGTGTGTGTGTGTTGTGTGTGTGTGTGTGCGCGCTGCGTATGCGTGTGTGGTGTGGTATAGTGTGTGTGTGTGTGTTGTGTGTAGGTATATATCTATATATATATATATATATATATTATGCGTGTGTGTGTGATGGCGCGCGCGTGTGTGTGCGTGTGTGTGCGTGTGTGTGTGCGCGCGTGTGTGTGTGCGATGTGTGTGCGTGTGTGTCTGCGTGCGCGCGCGCATATGTGTGTGCGTGTGCGTCAGTTCAGTTACAGTTGGGAATAATGTTACTCGTAAGTAAGATAAAGCTTTCCCTCATCTTTTATCTCAGTGACTACACCACTTCGGGGAATAGCTGTCAAAGAACATTAATCTGCTATATCTTATAACACACACAGTGGGACATCTGATCGTCTTCTCAGCCTTTATTCCAACACATGATGTTTGCGCGCAGAGATAGAACCTTTAATGATGGCACATGATCACGGTCACAGTCAAGGTCACAGTCAAGGTCACAGTCACGGTCACGGTCACGGTCACGGTCACGGTCTCGGTCTCAGTCATGGTCACAGTCACAGTCACGGTCACGGTCACAGTCACAGTCACGGTCACAGTCACAGTCACAGTCACGGTCACAGTCACAGTCACGGTCACAGTCACAGTCACGGTCACAGTCACGGTCACGGTCACGGTCACGGTCACGGTCACGGTCACGGTCACGGTCACGGTCACGGTCTCAGTCATGGTCACAGTCACAGTCACAGTCACAGTCACGGTCACGGTCACGGTCACGGTCACAGTCACGGTCACGGTCACGGTCTCAGTCATGGTCACACTCACAGTCACGGATTTATAATATATGCATTTTCTTCATGTAATTACCGATAACTTAGACAAACGCGTGTTGTGTATGTGCGGTCAAGTGATTGACTAATCACCGTACTTGATCCGTGAGTATACACATACACTTCACCTAGAAGTCGCAAGTCGTATTAGTGAAAATGAGGATGATTTAATGTCTGGTCAACTAACATTAAAACAAGAGAACAACGGACCTTTGTTGTGTGTAATTGGGACCTTAATGCCCCCTAGCGTTAAAATTCAAATACGCGTGACAGACACGTGTGATCACTCGGAAAATGCTGGTTGAAATATTCTATTTTTTGGCAAATATTGAATTAACAGTGTCTAGTAAGAGAAGAAAAAGGATTGAGTCAGAGCGGGAGAGAAAGCAGGAGAGAACGAGAGATGGGAAAGAGACAGAGGAGAGAGAAGCAGGGTGATACACATTAGTCCACTTCAATACCTAGTAACTGGACGTGTTCATCCCCTTAACTCAATGTGTTCAGCAACTCAGTGGCTTTTTCGCGCCTTTGTTTTCAGCACACGTGATGTTCCGCCCGTTTATTTGAACATAATTGTGCCGATGGTATAGCTAACACGAAGATAAATCAATTAAAGAAAGAAAGAACGCACAGATGAAAGCATGTCATTCTCGCACACAAGCGCTGAAGCATGAAGTAAACGTATATATTGAAGCCACGCGAACAAATACGTAAACAAGTTTCCCGTATAGATAAACTGAATATGTCACTATGTTATACGCACACGTGCATTTACTTGCCATAAACGCCGCTTCTATCATCATACAAGCTATTGTCGTATACACACGTACGGGAGTACAATTATTCGCACACTCAAGACACACTTTGCCAATTTGATCGGTGGTTTAATAGATAATACACTTTGTAATGACACGACAGTGTACATATTACTGAATGTCTTAGGGTTAGGGTTAGGGTTAGGGTTTTACCATTACTACCGCGTACTACCATTTTTATTCGACAGCGTGTGAATATATCATCGAATTACTCGTGTAAATACTTTAAACACCACCAACAGACTTACAGATAGGCCCCTATCGTCCCCCTAAAGTCTACTATGTCAATGACATTTTTAGAAATTACCCATAAATATTAGCTGGAGTGTTGATCGCAACTACAATACGCCTATTTATTCCATTCCATTTCGTTTACGTCGATGTATTTTGTTTATTAATAAATGGCTGAAATATTCAGAGAGCATCATCAATAGCCTGCGCTGTACGAGTGAGAAATGGCGACCGCGACAACTTAATTTAATTTTAGGCTACGACCGCACTGTAAATAAATTTCGGTGCGTTACCAGAACATTTGTACGATAGGCTGTATGCTCGAGAGAACGGATAATACCCGTCTATATTTATTCAATGTTTTACGGTTAATACACGAACGGTAGCACCGTATATCATATATAGTATTTGCATGGCGGTATTGCACGCTAATACGGTTTCCGTACACGTGTGGACACACTGTACATGTGTCTGTGCTACTACTGACTAGCCGCTATTAAGGCGTGCCATGCGAGTCAGGCCATAAAGCAATTTATAAACGCCACAGTGAGCGGTGTCCCGCGTGCGCGCAGGGCCGATAGCAATACTACATACCGCCATCATCATCATCAGACACGCACTGCACACATGTCCGCGTTAATACTCTTACCTTACTACTGCTACTGTTACTGCCGCTACTGTCTTACCGTTCCGGTTGTGTACCTTCTTCATCCACGGATAGATCTCGGTCTTCGACAGCGTGTTGCATGTGTTAGCCTGTGTCGTCGCTGCCGCCGCCGCCGACGACGACGACGACGGCGTGTGTGTTCCGGATGCCGCCGACGCCGCCGACGACGCCGCTACGCCGCCGCCTATCGTAGCGGACGTTCGCCGACGTTCACAGTGTTTTAGCGACGACTGCTGCGTCGCTGACGTCGTCGCGTACTTACAGCTGTTCGTGGTCGGCGCTGTGCCGACGTTATTGCTTGCCGACGTCGCCGCATCTTTCTGTGTGAAGATCTGTCGGCTCTGCTGCTGCGAGGTTAGGTTCACGTATTCTGTGCGACCCGCCGTGAGATCGGTGTCTCTATAAGCGCTAACGTGAGACAAGTAATCTTGCTCCGATGCGGAGACGTTCAGTGCTTGCTCGGCTAGCGGATAGTAAGCTCTAGGAGGTGGCAAATCTTGTGATCGCGGAGGGTAGCAGCCCGCTAACGAGTTGACAAAATACGAGCTCATTTCGCGTCACCGCCGTGATTTGTGACCCTATAATACTAATAGTCGGCCAATAGAACGCGCAGTTTAAATGAATTATGATGGTGTAAGCTTACTGCAACTTCACTATAGTCCTAAACAATTCATTATACCTTTTAAGGAACGTGAATATGGCACGTGATTTAGGGCGACCAATCACGAGTGCTGTTACGCGTTGCCGGTAGTAGCATTGTATGTTGCGATGAAATCATACAGTTATAATCATTGGATAATACGATATCATCCACTACTAATAGTATAGCTATCATTGCTGCATTAAACCTCTCTCCATGACAGTGGTACTTAGACCACCATTACAGCAGTGAATTATGCTGATTGGCGCTGGAATCGTGTCACCCTGACGGTTCGTAATGCTTTACAATCAGGAATTACAACGCGTATATCTTACTCTCTCATTGTCACCACTATTAGAATTACAGTGTTGTTAATTTTATTTTTGTTATTATTATATTATTAATAATAGTTTGTTCAGAATGTGCAAAATTGAATATCCGTGGGCTATATATGAGTTGTACTCCAGGAATTAACTGGTACGAGGGTATAGAGTCTCTGATTATGTGTCTATAAGTCTCGCTTTATAAATAAATGCCTATGATTGTGAAATCTGCTTTCTTGAAAAGTGGCAGTAAATATTAAAAATGTATTATGTCGTGTAAAAATTAGCTAGTGAAAATCTCAAGTAAAATATAAATTAACCACGTAAGTTATACAGTACAAATAAGAACAATTTATGATACTGTATATGTAACTGTCAAATAACGTCTCAGAAGCCAGAAATTGTGTCTAATTATCGTAAAGGTGTTTCCCAAACGAAAGTCAAGATTATGCTTTGGCGAAATCGACGAGGTCAACAATCATTCATAATGGTGACAAAATCACGGAGGCCGGGTTTACATGTTGCTGTATGCATGTTGTGTTAAAAGTATGACTGCATGCACTGATTGTCTCATTTGCATCGTTTTTTTCATTCAAATCTCGTCGCAGCAAGGCAGCTTATGTCTGTGCAAAATAATGCAAGGGACGGGTGGAAACAGAAAAATCTCATTATGTCTAGCCATTCAATAAAAAAAACTTGCTTGCCTGAACAGGCAAATGCAATTTCAAGCTACTTGCCCGGGGCAAATTTTGGTTGCCCCGGGCCATCGGGCAAGCGGGTTTGTTGAGCACGGCACCGCAGGTTTCGAATTTCGGCTGAAAATCTAGTGGACAGTTGGAAAGTTGGTGGACCTGCACAAAAATTTGGTGGTCCGCTTATTTACTAGCAGTGAGTAACAAAATAGTATATAAAGATAACCACTGGCATTAAAACAGCATACATGTAACTTAATTAGAGTTGGTCAAATAATGTCGTATGTGCGTCTGTGTATTTCACTGTGTACTTGCCAAACAAATGGTTAATGTGTTACGTGTAAGCATGATTGTACATGTATTTGTATTGACATCTCAACCGTAAAAAAACATGTGCAACAACTAAACTTTCCATATAACACTACCGGTAACACATGTATCACAGTCACTAAGCCCGCGCTTAGCAAGGGGTTCCAGCTAGTAGGTATAAATGCTGAACTTGCTGCTTATTTTCATATTTTCGAGTGTTTCGTATTCATCTCCTACAATAAATTGCCGGGTCTATCTGTCTGTATGTCTTCTCGAGACCAATAAGAGGTGACCCGTGAGGTATATTCTCTATCAGCATGACGCGACGACCATTTTAGGCCAAAAACAATTTGCACAAAAAGGCCAAAATAAGGGCAAAAAAACAAACAACAGATTTCCCCCAAAACAAGTGCCGCGGAGCGACAGTGCTCATCTAACGTCTACTGCGATGACTCTGTGGGGGAGTGGTGGGATTCTAGTAAACCCTGTTAGTCCCAAATGTGTTCACATACACGCCGAAACATTAGAAGGCACAGGGATAGTATCAAGAACCTTCTCAAAGAAATGTTCGTTGGAATCGTTATGAAAGTTGCCACGAGATGGCACGTACGTTTAAGTGTCTTAGGATTAAAGATGGAAGCTCCCATCGTACGTAGTAATAACAACTATTTGCAAGACAGAATAGGTAAGCACACATCCATTTACCTATGCAAGCCTACAGGCTGATCGAAATAGAGAGCTGCCACCTGTAACCAATTAACGCAGGTAAAAACTACACAGTACCACCACCACATGCACTGGCACTAGCAGTGGCCACTGGCAGTGGCATACGTTACATGTAACACACTGACAGTACAGAATGCCATAGAAATTATACGATGGCAACCAATATTTAGCTTTTGAAATTTCACTGTGACATTGTAGCCTCATACATCCAGGCATGTATAGATTCTACTAGCAAACCCGGCAGTCAAATATTTGAAATTTCACTGTGACATTGTAGCCTCATACATCCAGGCATGTATAGATTCTACTAGCAAACCCGGCAGTCAAATTCTTTCTAACAGTAAAGAAATCCATGTTTAACCCGCCTCTTGAGGGTCAAAAGGTTATCCGAAACTTACTCTTCGCATGTCAGCAGAAATTACATTTCATGTACCTTTTAATAAAGCCATAAAAATGCTAGGTCACCGCTGAAACAAAAAAGTTTTTCAATAGCTCCATCAGACCTGTCCTCAGAAAATGCCTAAAATCTGCCCTGTGCCCCATTGACCTTTGACCTGTGACCTCAAATTTCGGCACAGTGATGGCTTTTCCTACCATGATGCTGTACACCGACTATCACGAGCCTAGGTCGAGCCGTTTAGATTTGTGCCGCAATTCTGCATTTCCTCCCTGTACCTTAAGTTAAGGAGAGAATGTTCCCCCTTCATTTACACCTCTTGTCCTTTGACCTTTGGCCCCCAGCCTCGACATCCCAACTCAATTTGACGATCCCCCCCGACGTCCCGAATATCGTGACCGTACGTCAAGCGGTTAAGATTTGTGCCCAACTGTTGATGCACGGACGGACGCACGGCCGGACGCACGCTCATGCGATTCTACAAGCTGCATCTGACTATGTCAGATGAGCTAAAAATACTAGCGCAGCAGAAAAGTTAACAGCAATCCTAGCGCTCGACTATACACTGCATCAGAAAAGTCAAGACAAAACCTAGCGCAGCAGAAAAGTAAACAGCAATCCTATAGCGCTCAACTCTAGTCAGGCTCAAAATCAGGCAATCGCATGAAATGCCGAAACGCAAGCAATAGCAGAAAACGCATGAAATAGCAGAAAAACAGTAACCCACAAAAAATCCCGGGCATCGCCGGGTAGCCCAGCTAGTGTTACCAATAAATTCCTTGGCCAATGCTACCAACCACCGCTTTCACAAGTCGCATATGCCAGTATTACCTCACTTAGCTCTAGAGCTATAGCCCTTCGCTCTGCCACAGGCCTGTACCAGCAGTTCTGTGATTTAGAATGTGGGACACATCTGCTCGTAATTAAGTTGTAATACAATGGAGGTGGTACACTACTCCGTTCATTTTTTCCCTAAATACTCAGTAAAACTCTGAGTGAAGTTCTCAGTAAAGTACTCAGTGAAATTCTGAGAGTCTTCTCCCCAACCTAATCTAAATGAAGACCATCCCACAGTTTGATTCTGGTTTGTACAACAGTGGTCCATGTACATGGCTGATGGTTTCCGTGTAAAGCAGTAATATGGCAGATGGGGGTCGTTGTCGTATCAGGTACTACAGATATGTACCCGAGGTAGTTTTAGGTTGTTTAGTATTACGTTTATATTTTTATGAGGTATGTTTAGGGTTAGGGTTAGGGTTAAGGTACACTTCTGTAGTACAAGTCTGGTACACTTTGTGTATACATATATGTACTTCGGGTACATATCTGTAGTACCTGATACGACAACGACCCCTTGAGCAGTAATATGGGCAATGGTTACTAATACTATTTAACTTGAGTTGATTAAAAGTTGACTTGATTGTTAAAACTGTGAGTTAGTATGACAGTAACTTAAATGGTAACTGAGTTTGTATGATAATAGCATAACATGGTAACTGTGAGTTTGTACAACAGTAACATAATATGGTAACTGTAAGTTTGTATGACAGTACAGTTACCAGATTATGTTACTGTCATACAAAGTCACAGTAACCATGTTACGCTACTTTCATACACTCAGTTACCATATTAAGTTACTGTCATACTAACTCAGTTACCATATTAAGTTACTGTCATACTAACTCACAGTTTTAACAATCAAGTCAACTTTTAATCAACTCAAGTTAAATAGTATTAGTAACCATTGCCCATATTACTGCTCAAGGGGTCGTTGTCGTATCAGGTACTACAGATATGTACCCGAGGTACATATATGTATACACAAAGTGTACCAGACTTGTACTACAGAAGTGTACCTTAACCCTAACCCTAACCCTAAACATACCTCATAAAAATATAAACGTAATACTAAAGCGGCGGCAGCGGCGGCTCAGCGGCGGCAGCGGCGGCTCAGAGCGCATTTTCCGTAGTTTCGTTCGATTTGTCGTCGTTGCATAATGTGATAGATGCGTGTAAGGCGGACTCGCGCACATGCGGCGACGCCCCATAAACCATGTCGCTCTGATCATTCACGAACTTCTTTAGAATCGAGCGTGATTTACTATCTGCCACGTTCGCGGTTTCTCTCCAATGCGAGCCGAGTCTTTAATTGGACGATACGACGCTATTGGTGTAGCGAGGCGGTCCCCGTCTAGCCGCGATACCGTTGTTGTCTGCTACGTACATTGGCGCGGGTTCGTATATCATATGCACCTGGCATAAATACGAACACCAATAACGTATAATACATATAAAAACTCCGAGTTACCGTACATGTTGTTATCAAAATAACTTTGTATCATACAAAGATGTGGCTGAATACACGTTCGTGTGTTCGTATTCTTGCTGTTGAGATTCAGCCTATATCTAACGTAAAGCATAATCGAGTCCACTTTACCGCGATGACGTGAGACGTCTGGTATGTAGAACCATCCGGACAATTAAATTCGCTCAACAGTTCGTTATTGTCTAGATGACATACTTATGTTCGGTTATAAAAACGGCATTTCCCTTAATCTATCAACTGCTAATATCGAGGAAATGTCATGTTTATGTTTTACGAACATCAGCTATCATTCGGTCGCCGCCAAAAATACAACGTTGGCCCGACAAAAAACTTCCCCTGTTTGGAGATGTTCACATTCTCCAGTTTTGTGAATCACTCACGTATTGGCGGATGTGAATTAACAGATGAAGATCATATATGCTTATAAGAAAATAATGTATGGGCAGGAAAAAGCAGGACAGAAAAGGAATACTTTCTTGCAATTCCAAGCGACAGATCTTGGCTGTAACAGCAATTTCGCCAAATACACGGGTAAGCAACATATATAATAATAATATGACCATTAGTTTATAAAAATATCAGTTATAAATCTCTTAATTAATTCAGCGGATTATCTTGATTCTGCAAGATATTTTAATTGCCACGCGTACCATGCATGATCATCGTCAAACTAGTTTGGTTAGCGGAATTCTCGCTTTCAATTACTTTCGTGTCGCTACGCATGCTAATCTAGGTCATGAAAGTTTTCCCACTAGATCTTCGATCGTTATGCAAAATTAGCAGAAAATTATACCGGAAGATTCACATCCTGTCATTATTCTGATATTATTTCGGATATTCTGTGTCCCTGCATCTAGACACGGCTATCTGATCTACATCGATAGTCATAAATAACTCGTGTCATAATATGTCGATTGTATGAATATTAATTTTCTGGATCAAGAGCAAAACAACAACGTGAAATATACACAAAGTGTACCAGACTTGTACTACAGAAGTGTACCTTAACCCTAACCCTAACCCTAAACATACCTCATAAAAATATAAACGTAATACTACGTTTACTACATTTCAAAACAAAACAATATATTATGTTGCCTTTAAACATTACTATATCAATTTTTGCACTGAATATGCAAATTGTCTTATCAACCAGTCAACAATAATATTTATATCAAATCTCAGAAAAATTGTGATGCAGTTACCATTTCATGTTACTCGTAATAAATTCTGGTTCTTCGTTACCATATTCTACAACATCCCGCACTGTTGTACGAAAGTTAAAAATCCTTCCCGCGCCTATGTGGCGCATAGGGCGGTGCCTATCTCCGTTTCAGTAACTCTGAAGCCCCGAAGCTACTTTCACAGTAAATGCTACAGTAGGGGGTTAGTCCACTGGTAGCACTGCAAGTTAACTTGCCACACTCTATCATTATTTGCTGAATGCTAAGCAGAGAAGCCGTGTGTACCCTTTTTCAAGTCTTTAGTATGACCCGGCCAGGAGTTGAACCCCTCGACCTTCCACATACGAGGCGAGCACTCTACCATTGAGCGATCGGTGCAGTTGTTGTAGAATTAAGTATTTAGACAACTTGGTAGACTAAGCGGGCAGGAAGGACATCTACTCTCGAGACAGGCTACACTTAAACAGGAAGGGAAGAGACAGACTGACAGGAAACATCATTAGAGCACATCAGGAAAACTAGAAGCTAGGGGCCTCGGGGCATCATATAAACCACAGGAGACATCAATCGTGCAAGCGTCGGCGGAGCCAATCCCTAGGAGCACCAAACAGACTTCACTTCAAGATTGTACGATAGACACTAAGAAATATCTAAGTGTATAAGGTTCATACCTGGTAGCATGTGCTGAAGATCAATTTTTGACTCTTCAAAGTTGTCAAACAGCCAGTCCTCACCCTGCATTATGATAATGTTATAATAATGACAAAAAATTGCAAACAAACACGCACATTTTTTGTTTTTTTTTAGTTGAGTTTTCTCATTAATAAAATCACAAGTTAGGCCCTCTCAAACAACCCATGGAAAAGTACAAGCATGATCTGGAAAAATTGATTGTCACTAACCAATTTGTGGATTACAGTAATTTTACAGCTATTACAGAAGCAAGACATCTCTAACCTTACACAGCTTACTATGTATCACTCTACCCCATTACATTTCACTCTATCCAAAGGTCATATTAAATAGATGCCGCAGCAATACTTTGCCAATACTATGAGCACTCAAGAGTTATACCAATTATCTACACCAATTATAGAATGTGCCAACTACCGTGCAAAAGCTCCTTAAATACTTGAAAGCACCACTGACGACACATACTACAAACACCCCCCACCCCACCCCCTGGCCACCCAAGTAGTACCACGCGCAGTACCATGCAGTGGTGACACCAGACTCATTCACTTGCCTTCAGCTTGTGGATCTGTTGCAGACAAAGTGGGAACAGTGGGTAAAAGGCACCATTTCGCATGGGCTCTGAAAGCTCGGCTAGCGTTATCAGTTCACTGGCGACCGCTTGTGCTCCGTAGCCGGCCGCGTACGAGCGCACAAGTGGCACTTCCACCTCCAGCTCTGTCATTTGGTCAAGCAGACACTTGAACCCCTGTGGCAATGCAGTAGAGATTATTAAAAAACATTTCTTATGAAAAGCATGACTATTTTAATTTATTTAATTTAAAGTTTAAAAAAATCATGTGACACTTACCTCCATGAAACTCCTTTGAGAGATGAGAGCCTCTTTCTTCAATGTACAGATGAGGGCACTCACGAAGTCTCTGTCCTCATCTGCACGCAATTCACTTGTTGAAACTAATGACTAAACACTGCCATTTTTTACTAACAGTCTGCAGTTTACACTAGACATTAATATGTTGTGATACAATCATGACCACTTCAGGTATGAACAAGTTAGAGCACGTCAAGGAACACATCATCAGAAGTAGATAATAGGGAAGGAGTGTGACTTCAATAAACAATGGAAATTCGTCATTTACTAGCCTTAGAATACCTACGAATTACTACGCGTAACTCAACCAACTTGAGCTCAAATTGTACACAGTACATTCGCCTAGCATCGTGCGAAATCGTTTCTTCGTATACACCCGCAATTCGGAGATACAGACTAAAACGTACGACACGATTCTCCATTCTGTTGGCAGCAGATCGACTCCATAGCCCGCCTAACTTGAAACAATAGGCAGCTACTAACGACTCGTGCGCACTCTTGCGCCCTCAGCAATGCGGTGTGGCTCACTGGGAGATTGGACATCGACACAACACTCGGCGAGCTAATCTTTGACCTATTTACAGCTGGTATGCCCCCCCCACGCACACACGCCCACTGCAATCAGCAGCAGCTCCAGCTCCAATCTCCCAGCGAGCCACACCGCATCGCCGAGGGCGCAAAAGTCGTTAGTAGCTGCCTATTGTTTCAAGTTAGGCGGGTTATGGAGTCGATCTGCTGCCAACAGAATGGAGAATCGTGTCGTACGTTTTAGTCTGTATCTCCGGATTGCGGGTGTATACGAGGAAACGATTTCGCACGATGCTAAGCGAATGTACTGTGTACGATTTGAGCTCAAGTTGGTTGAGTTACGCGTTGTAATTCGTAGGTATTCTAAGGCTAGTAAATGACAAATTTCCCTTGTTTATTGAAGTCACACTCCTTCCCTATTATCTACTTCTGACGTCATGTATCCCCTACTGTATATTCTAAGGTATGAAATAGCCAGTAGGCTGCCTACCCCATTAATAAATTAAGCTAAACTGACTTCTGTCAATGGTACCTTGGTACTAATGGTAACTATGATTTGTTCTGTTTCTGTTATAGTTAAACATATCAAGTCAGCACATGCCAACAGTACACGACAAAGTTACAGTGTATGCGAATTTTACTCACCAGATTTGTCAATAGCAGAGGTCATAATTGCACATACAATATCTGCCATGTATCTGGAAATAAAAGTTATCATCCATAAATGGGAATTCAGAAGAATAAAATCTCACTGGGATTATTGTACTAAACTACGACAAATGCAGGACCAAGGCCACAGAAATGACAATTTCTTACCTGTTTGGAACCATCATCTGTTTGAAGTTATTAACAAATTCTTGCTCGTTGTGACTTTGAAGAAAATCCATGACATTTTTCTTCTAAAATATAAAGGTAAAAAGATAATGTTATCACTATAAAGTGCTTCTAAAACCATGGCACAGAACTGCATGTTATTACGCTGTTAATTGAATTCACGTTCGAAAGACGCAAGTTGTTATACAGTGTCACCGGTTTTAATAGCTCATATAGGACTTTACCGTATTGTTGAGCAGGTCATGCTTGCTTGGCGCCTTCGCCTTCTCTCTCTTAACATCTTCTTTCTTGGGAATAATTTTAATTGGTAGTACATGAGGCTGTAAAACAAATAACAAAGTATTAATTCAAGTAACATGTTTGCTCAAGTAATCTGTTCATATGGTGAGCATGGACTCATGACCATAGACTTGCATAAGCATTACGAAATACTACCACACTATAGAGCAGCAAATGCATTTCATGCAAAGTTAATCAACAAATACGATTATTATTACCCGAGATGAAATAAAACAGATCAAATAAGCAAAACACTGCATATATGTTGTTCACAAAGAACATTCACAACACAACACTGTCACATAATATCACTTATTACCTGTGCTGGCATCATGACTGGTACTGGCTGGATAGGTGGCTGCATTGGCATGTAATGAGACTGTGCAACAGGCATGGCCGACTTAGGCAGCATACTTGGTGCATTTGGTTTCAGTATCACCGAACCCTGCGCTGGTCTCAAACTTATCTGTAACATGATCATAACCATTTAGTACAGTGCTAGCTCTTAAGCAACACAAAATTGTTACATCACTAAAACAGTGTAATTAATTAACAACGGTAAATACTGTACCGATCCTTCTTCTCCCCTTTAGAGGAACCGGCATCACAATTGCAAGAAATCAGCGTGGATAGCTAGTTTGAATTGAACACTGTTCAGTCAAGGAGAGGTAGGTGTCCTGCAGGTATTACAGAGTCTGAAGCAAAGCTTCAAACAGTCTAGCCGGCCAGCGTGACCCCGATGAAGTGAGCTACAGAGTACAGACCTCGTCAGGATTGAAGTTGGGTGGTTGCTTCTTCATGAATCGAGGTGGCAGATCCTTTTTCTGTTGTTGGATACCACCTTGTGTAGAGGGTGGTGATGGGTGTGGCGACAATTGCTGGGGAGAGCCCTGCGACTGGAATCGTGGTGGGAACTGCTGGGGGCTCTTCTGCTGCCCTCCTTGCTGTTGCCTGCCACGGCTGGCACCTCCATCATAACCTGTCACGATCAAGAAGACACCCGTGTTTGCCGAAACCATGTGCATCAGTATCCACACGCCAAAAGACCTGTGTCGCTGCCTCATCAATTACATTAATAATTTATCATGAGGGTATCACTAGCCTATTTATTTCCCAATCAGTTTATAAACTTGATTCTAGCTAAGTATAGACTGCTATCACTATTTTTTTATTTATCTGCTACCATACCTATATGATAACACACCTACCTTGTTTACCTTGTCCTTGATGATTCATTTGTCTACTCCTGGGCATATTTCCAGCAAAGCCATTCATGCCCTCCACGTGTATTACTCCAGGTCCAGTACCGATATTTGCACCTGAATGACCACGCCAAATGTTTACTAATATCCCCACCCGAGTATCCACATGTAAACAACAGCTTTTTGAACTACGTATGAGCATTGAATTCGTTACGGTTCTGGTTGGACCGAGTACACAATCAATTAGGGTAGAGCAGATGTGCAATGTCATGGGAAATTTTTGAATGCTCACTTATATGAAGTAACGTGACACTTTTGCAGATGCCCCCACTGAATGGAGTGGGTATTCACTCTGGCAGCAGATACATTACAGTGTTCCCCCTGCATTGACACGAGCGAGGCGGGCCGCCTTGTTCAAATTCTCAGCCACCACACAGAAATTTGTCCAAAACACAGCCTCGCTGACGAAAATCGCTGTACTTCCATCAATAAACTAGAAAGGGCAGTTGTCGCCAACTACATGTGCCCAAGATGTGTAAGTATACGAAGTTTGGTCGCGCTAGGTCAATTAGGGGCCGAGTTATAGAGTGGAAGGGAAATATGATGAAGGTCAAGGTAAAGGTCAAATAAAGGTCGTAGAGACCTGGTTTTAAGGGAAATATGATGAAGGTCAAGGTAAAGGTCAAATAAAGGTCGTAGAGACCTGGTTTTGGTAGCGCTAGGTCAATTAGGGGCCGAGTTATAGAGCAGAAGGGAAATATGATCAATGTCAAGGTAAAGGTCAAATAAAGGTCACAGTGACCTGGTTTCGGTACGCTGCGCACCTTCTCCCAAAGATGTGTAAGTATACCAAGTTTGGTAGCGCTAGGTCAATTAGGGGCAGAGTTAGAGAGCGGAAGGGAAATATGATCAAGGTCAAGGTAAAGGTGAAATAAAGATCGCAGTGACCTGGTTTTGGTACGCTGCGCACCTTCTCCCCAAGATGTGTAAGATTTTAAAGTATACCAAGTTTGGTAGCGCTAGGTCAATTAGGGGCCGCGTTAGGGAGCGGACGGGAAATATGATCAAGGTCAAGGTAAAGGTCAAATAAAGGTCGTAGTGTCCTGGTTTTGGTAGCGCTAGGTCAATTAGGGGCCGCGTTAGGGAGCGGACGGGAAATATGATCAAGGTCAAGGTAAAGGTCAAATAAAGGTCGCAGATACCTGGTTTTGGTACGCTGCTCACCTTCTCCCCAAGATTTGTAAGTATACCAAGTTTGGTAGCGTTAGGTCAATTAGGGGGCGAGTTAGAGAGCGGAAGGGAAATATGATCAAGCTCAAGGTAAAGGCAAAAAAGGTCGCAGTGACCTGGTTTTGGTATGCTGCTCACCTTCTCCCCAAGATGTGTAAGTATACCAAGTTTGGTAGCGTTAGGTCAATTAGGGGCCGAGTTAGAGAGCGGAATGGAAATATGATCAAGGTCAAGGTAAAGGTGAAATAAAGGTCGCAGTGATCTGGTTTTGGTACGCTGCTCACCTTCTCCCCAAGATGTGTAAGTATGCCAAGTTTGGTAGCGCTAGGTCAATTAGGGGCAGAGTTAGAGAGCGGAAGGGAAATATGATCAAGGTCAAGGTAAAGGTGAAATAAAGGTCGTAGTGACCTGGTTTTGGTACGCTGCGCACCTTCTCCCCAAGATGTGTAAGTATACCAAGTTTGGTAGCGCTATGTGAATTAGGGGTCGAGTTATAGAGCAGAAGGGAAATTGTCTGCGGTGGCAGCGGCAGCTGGGGAGACATGAAACCATAGTATCCATGGTTACAACTACACTTTATTGAGCTAAAATCGAAATAAAGCTTCAAACGTAAAGCACAACGCCGCGTACTTACGATACTGTCAACACGCGTGACGCGAATCTTAGCAAGGCCTATAGAGAAACACAGGTTAGGAAGATGATTGGTCACAGACTTGAGCGCCACAGGCACGATTGTTGACTCCAGCAGCGAATTAAGGGCGCTATACATATGCATACATACGCATGGGTGTTCGTTTGTATTATACACCAGGAAAGTGCTTTCGTTGAAATAAAATTGCATTTCATGCTGTTAAGCAATATTAACGAAAATGACAGCATATAACAAGTGCCGCAGAGCGACAGCGCTCAACTGACGTGTACTGTAGCCGGGTATTCTTCTGATAAACTGACTGGCAACCGAATCAAGTGCGCCCTCCCGCCACCGCGTTCGCACTCAGAGGATATATCTAGGATACTACTAATACAGATCTAAAATCTATGATAGCTAGGCTTTGCTATACCAGTAGTGTAACGTCTCTTTTACACATGTTGTACTTCAGCAGTACATTCAATACTTCAGCGAGAATTCAACGGGCAAATTCAGCAGAGTCAACGACCTTCAAATTTGTGAGAACAATATTTGTTAACACAAACACTAATGTGTTAGCAAATTATCAGTGCTGGTGAACTTTTGGCAAAACCATTGGACATTATCGAAGAAATTAAAATGCCACAGCACATTTGGACAATTACGTCCTACAATCAATTATTGCATCGGCATCAGAAGAAGCAGCGCAGAGGATCAACATCAAGACCAGGGAGAACATCATAACATCGTCGAGGATCAAGATTATTATATTGTATTGTATGTATTTCATTGTGTTATTGTATGTGTACAGTGTTGTTGTATTGTATTTCAGGTATGCAATATGTATTGTATGAATATGGTATATTTTGAGTTTTGGGGGTTGTATTTCAGGTTATCAGGCTTTCATTTTTAAGGGGCGCGATCGCGCTCGCGCTCCACCGCGCACCCGAAATTGTCCCATGGTGCGCGCATCATCGCGCCTCATAAAAGTGGTTGAAATCGCGCACCAAAAGTATGTCTATTATGTTGAAATAGCGCGCAATAGAGTTCTCAATGTAGGGGGGTACAAAAAGGTTAGCAACACACAACAATTTGTGGTGTGTAAGTAACTGAACGTATGGCAGAGGTACAGGTCTGGTTACTACCCTCTGGTTTATATATATATAAATACAACTAAACAACAGCATCCAAATACAGGTACCTATACGGTAGCCACAAGTTACCTGCTCGTTTTCTACTATATGTGGAGAGACGTGAAACAGGCGTAGGGCTGGAGGGGCTACATACGTGGCTACTACGTAC